CGAGCTCTCTGGCGGTCGCCCAGCTCGGCCCCGACTCCCGCCGCAGCGCCCTCACAAACACAGCTGGTCTTTGCACCCGTTCCTGGCACATAGCTCCTAAGACCCTGTAGCTTCCTGAGTGCCGGGGGCGCCTGTTACCCAGAACTGCCCCTTTAACCACAACAATTCATGCTAAAGCCCCAGACAGCTTCGGGGTGGGGGCGGCTGCCGGGGGCACCAGCCATGAGACTGCAGGGTGGGCACCCCAGGCCTGGGGAGGGAAGAGGGGCCTGAGACGGAGTGGACCACTCGCAGCTATGTAACGAGACCTCCATGAAAACCCCTACAGACGGGGGCTCCAGAGCTTCCAGGCTTGGGGGCTGGGGAGTGCGTCTCTTCCATCTCCTGTCCCTGAGCCGTCCCCTCGTAACAATCCTGTACACATGAGTAAAGCAACTTCCTGGGTTCTGAGTCATCCGGCAAATTACTGGTCAGAGGACGCCAAACGTGTGGTCGGCCGGGAAGCAGGTGGGTAGGTGAGCGCCCGCTGCAGCTGGCACCTGAGTGGGGCAGTCTCAGGGATGGGGCCCTTGGGCGGCGGGGTCGGGGCTGACTCAGTGGCACCATAGGTGGACTGAACTACACACACTCAGCTGGAGTCAGAGAACCGGGGAGGGGCTGGTGTTGGCCTCTGCCTGGTTAAGTCCTACTCATTCACCCCTCAGTGCTGGTTATCTTCCCCCAAAGTCTGCCTTCAGCATCCCCTCACAGCGTTCCCACGCTGCCGTCTGTAATTATTTCTACAACCTTCCCCAGCTGTCTGGGCACCAGACCAAGAGCTCCTTGAGGACGCGGTCATCCCTGCAGGCCCTTTCACAGGCCGAGCTCTCTTCCTCCTCAGGGGTCGCTCTCCCACCCCCGGCCCCAGTGGTGCCCGAGGAGTCACCACTCCTTCCTCTGAGCGGTCAGCAGATCCCTCCCTCAAAGACCCCTACCATGAAAACGGTCTAAAACACAGCTTTACTACAGGAGCTGATGTGCCCAGGAGAGCCCCGGTAACCCAGTCTCCATCTTCAGAAACGGGGATCCTGTAGCTAAATCTGACCCTTTAACACCAGTTACGTCAATCTGAACTTCGCCGCTTTCAGCATCTTACTCACTTGGTGCATTCTTCTAAAGACTGTACGAGCATCTGCTGGAAAGAACATATCTCTTCTAGATTTCCCATTAAATGTGAAGTGTTTGCCGAACTCAACCTAGAGCAAGGAAAGCAACAGCGAAGACATGTGAACGGTTTTCCTCACACACACCCCCCCACACCAACGCCCCACCACGCCTCCACTCAGTAAGCCCGCTGCCTATGTCCCTGGCAAACTGTCACTGAATTCGGTTCAGCGTCTCGGCCTCTACTCTCTGAAAATACAAGGGACAGCCATGGTGATGGCTACTCCAGTTAGCACAGTCACCGTCGAACTTACTTCTCACTGGTCTGCAGTGGCCGTAGATAGGCTGAAAGCACAGTCTGGAGTTCTTTAGAATACTCATTTTCTGTTTCCAAAATGTTCTGTAGCACCTACAATAAATGAGGAAGGAGTCACTATTTGACAGTAAGATGTACACGCTTTGGAAAGTTCATCACCATCGTTCAATTCACGTTGCTGCTTCCGTGTAATACTGATTGGTAAGAGTGTCACTCCTGGTGGTTATCAACTACTAAATCCACGTGATGAAGTATTACTAAGGCCACACAATTGACGTCATCCTTCAGCCACGCACATCTGACGCAGGTATACCGGGAATGAAGCTGGAATGAATTCCATCATCAGGTAAGTGAGGCCAAGTCTGTTTAGACACAAAGGAACCACGGACAACCACGAGCATGGGTGCACGGACGGGCCCCCACGACACTGCGGTGTGCGAAAGAAGCCATCCACCTAAAGGACCTCACACATCTTCCATCTGCAGTGAGTCCAGGAATAGGCGAAACTAGTTCATGACGGCAGAAACCAAAAGGGGGGTGGGCATGACAATGGGGAAAGGGCATGAGAAATTTCTAGAGTGGTGGACAAGTTCTTTACCGTGATTTGGGCAGCTGTTACACAGATACATGCGCATGTCAGAGCTCACTAAACTGTACCCTTAAAACCTATGCATTCTGACACAAGAAAGTGTATCAACTGAAAAGATGACATTTACTAGTAATCTAGTAAATCTAAATCAATTTCTGGGAACTACAGAGCTTCATTAGGGAATATGATAGTCTCAGATCATCCTACACACGTTTATTAAAAACTAAAAGGTCTACCAGCATAAAACCACCTTTAAATAGTCACTATTGTGCTAAAAAATAGAATTATTATAAACCAACCGTAAATTAAAATGTTTCCTGATACTCTATATTATGTAGCAAATATAGTTACCAACTCCTAAAAGTTGAGAGATAAATACAAAGTGCAAAACGGCTGACCTACAACA